GAGGGAGGGAGAGACATAGATCTTCCATCTGCTGGTTCACTCCTCAAATGGCTAAAATGGTTGGGGCTGGGCCAGGATGAAGCCGAAACCAAGAGCCAGGGGCTTCACCCAGGTCTCCCACATGGGTGCAGGGGCCCAAGTACTTCCGCTGCTTTCCCAGGCGCATTATCAGGGGCTGGATCAGAAGTGGAGCAGCTGGGCCCTGAAGCAGTGCTCATACGGGAAGCTGGCTCTGCAGATGACACTTGACCCAATGCACCACGGCACCAGCCCCTTGCCTGACTCTTTTCATGAAGGTTCCACACTGCGTGGGATCAAACCTCAAAATACATGCTAACTTCTTCTTTAAAAAACTTTTTATTTTTATTTTATTTGAAAGGCACAAAGACAGAGATACAGACATAAAGAAATTTTTTGGCCACTAGTTTGCTTCCCAAATGCCTGCAACAGCCAGGGCTGGGCCAGGAGTCCAGGGCTCCATTCAGGTCTCTCACGTTGGTGGTAGAGACCCACGTACTTGAGCCATGACCTGCTGTCTCCCAGGGTGTGTGTCAGCAAAAGCCAGAATCAGGAATGGAGCCAGGACTAAAACCAGAGATGGGGGTGTCCCAGGTGGTGACTTAACTGATGCGTCAAACACGTACCCCATATACTAACATCTCATGCACCCTTTCATCCGGCTCTGGGCTTTAATTGTGTAAAACACGCTCTCAAGTGTCGGTCCCGTCCCGATTCAAATGAGCTATAGAGGTATCTCCCTAAAGAGAAAGCTTTCTCAAGAGGAACAGTAGCACTGGCAGTTGGAAGGATGTTTTCCCACCATTAGAGTAACCTAGTCAAATTTAATTACCCTTGAAATCCACCATGAACAACAACATTTTACAAACAGGCACATAAAGACCTAAAGTGGGCATGTGTGAGTTCTATAAAACCCTTTGCTTGAATTCTAGTCTATGAGCTCTTACTGATGGCACACATGGCACTGAGTGGAGGTCCCTGGCAGAAGGCTAGAAGGTCAAGGGCACAGAGAGGTGATGGAAGGCCCCCACAAAGAGTTACGAGGGGCAGGAAGAGCTGTGACACTGAGCTTGTGGGGGGGTGATGGAACCCTGAGATTCAAAAACAAATAACTTACGATTTTTGAACTGGTATTAGGTTCACGTGGTACAAAAGGGAAAAGGTGCAAAAGGTGAGGGTGCCCCAAAAACCTAAAGTCTCCTCCTTCCTCTGCCTCCCCGTTACCTTGCTCCTCTCCCAATCACTCTTGCCACTCTCCTGGATGCTCTTTATGGGCTAGATTATATACAAATAAGTATCTGTATACAGTTTATGCAGATGGGACTGGACCATACATCATGTCTCGCTCTTCTAACAACAGCAAGAATCTTAGCAATCCTTCCAAATTCGTAGAGGAGGAATTTGCTGATTATTTTCTGTGTAGGTGGGTTGTGCCACATCCTGGTTCCTACTGACAGACATTTAGGTTGTTTTATTATGAAATCCTGCAATGAATTTCCTTGTACATAGGATATTCTGCGTGATTATTAATGTATCTGTCAATAAAATTCCTTCAAGTGCAATTGCTATCATATAGAGTTTGTGTTTTTGATTTGGATACTGTCACACTGCCCACAATGAAGGTTGTGCCAGTTTACACTCTCACCTGCATGCATGAGACAGCCTGTTCCCCCGAATATGGGGGATGTACTTGGAAGTACTCTTAGGGGCCAAACTACACAGAGCCTTGCATACAAAGCTGAAAAGTCTGACCTTGAACCACAGACCACGGCCACCCACCTGAGGGTTTAGGTACTGGGTAAAGACGGCCAGGTCTGAGTTTCGAAAGGAAGTTTCTTTTCATGATGACATCAGATCAATTTTGTAGGGAGCTTTTATTCCCCAGCAGGCATGAATGATAATGAGATGAGTCAGTGAGGGGAGCAGATGCCCACCAGGATTCCAGCCATGCTGGGGACACAATGATTACCAATGGGCCATGGCTGCCAGCTCCATTGTGTAGGACCGGACATGTGCGGAGCTCAGCCGCTCCAGCATCCCATAACTCTAACTTTCCTGACAGTTTCGTCTTATCACACCCTTCCCATATGCTGATGACTGAGGCATTTCGGCCTCAGGGTAATAACATAAAATCAGCAAGGACTTTTTATCGGATGCTAACAGTTGACCAGAAGACAAGCAGCTTTATCACTTCTGAAGACCAATTCATGAATGAATTGGCTTCGGAACAGGCATTGAACAAAGAGCTGGGTGAAGCAAAAACACAGACACATTCACCCTGAGCCTTCTTTTCTTAAACAAAAGGGAGTTGCTATTATTTGATGCAAAGAGAGAAAGGAAGATGGATGGCTGATGGATGGATGGCTGATGGATGACTGGTTGGATGGCTGGCGGATGGCTGGCGGATGGCTGGCTGATGGCTGGATGGCTGATGGATGGCGGATGGATGGATGGGGGGGTGGGGAGGCACCAGCATATGGAGCACCTGGGAGCAAGCTTCCTCCAGAGGCTCCAGCTGCGGTTCGAGGATGAACGCAGCAGTGCTGGCACTCTTGGTGCTCTCCCTGAGGTCTGCAGCCACCGTGGCTAAGCCAGTGGAGGGCAGCTTTTGCCCGAAGAGCCAGGTGGCCTTCAGAGATGCTTGCTATGAGTTTGTGTCACTTGGGCACACCTTCCGTGATGCCCAGAGCTGGTGTGAGGGCCAAGGAGGCCATCTGGTCTTCATTCGCGATGAAGACACACAGCACTTTTTGCAGAGGCATATCTCCCAGGACAGGGAATGGTGGATTGGACTCACAGGGAGCTTGGAGCAGAACGGGACCTCGGAAGGTAGGTGCTGGGACAGCCACGCATGCTTTTTGGGAAACTTGAGTGTAGTTCTCACCCAGAGCTCTATGGAACAAATTCCCACACCCCAATCCTCATGGGAGTCATGATCTCCGTTTGGGTGTTTCTATGAATCAAACGAAATAATTCACGTACAGTCCCTAGCACACAACTGGGAACACGGCTGGCATTCTAGAACTGTCCATTGCTTTGCATGTACCTAATGATAACACCAGCTGGGATTTCTTTCATTCTTGCTGGAATAGTACCAGGCACCATTCTGAGTGCCTCCTGGCTATTATCACGTTCATCCTTACAGCAAACAATGAGAAAACGGAGTCTCATAAAAGCATGACTAAGCTGTTTCCAAAGCATGTCCCCATGTCTTTCTGCACTTGTTAGGAGATTGATGCCGATCAAGTGCTTAGTGCAGCCCCAGTGACATTAGATGCTCTCATTTTAATGATCTTCCTGGAAATCCCGACTTACCCTTGCCTCTTGCCCCAACCCAGCACAGCCAGATGAGCCCTTCTGCACCCAGGGAACTCCAGCCATACTTCCATTGGAGTGCTTTGGGCACTGCTTATGCAAGTGTCTTTCCTCCCATTAGACTGTCAACCCTCCCAGGGCAGAACCATATCCACACCTCTGTTTCCCTGGTGTCTACACACAATGGAGAACAGACAGCACTTGTATTTACTTCTCACGCCGATCCCACAAGCTAGGCACGGCCACTCTTATTTTACGGATGAGGAAAATGCAGAGGAGCCGGCTTGCTCAAGGCGAGGTGGCTAGGGGAGTGCAGTGAAACTTTGGGTCCACTGAGGACAATCTTCCAGCCTGACATTTGCCACGTCAGAGTGGTCCCAGGGGTTCTCACTGTCCCTGTAGAAGCTACCAGGCTTCAGAAACGAGTAGCTTGGTGTGAACTGAGCTCCACAGAAATCTACTGGAGTGGATGGGAATGTCTTAATGAACAGGCATTTGGGGGGCCGGCAGCGTGGCTCACTTGGTTAATCCTCCACCTGCGGCGCCAGCATCCCATGTGGGCGCCGGGTTCTAGTCCCGGCTGCTCCTCTTCCAGTCCAGCTCTCTGCTATGGCCCGGGAGGGCAGTGGAGGGCCCAGGTACTTGGGCCCCTGCACCTGCATGGGAGACCAGGAGGAAGCATCTGGCTCCTGGCTTCAGATCAGCATAGCTCCGGCTGTGGCGGCCATTTGGGGGTTGAACCAACGGAAGGAAGACCTTTCTCTCTGTCTCTGTCTCTCACTGTCTAACTCTATCTATCAAAAAAAAAAAAAAAAAAAAAAAAAAACAGGCATTTGGGGAAGCACATTTAAGGCAGCTCACAGCCAAGGGAATTTGAATTCTTACGATGCCTCTTCAAGCAATGTCTGTCGAACACTTTCCTGACTTGTTGAGGTGACAGTATCAAATTTTGGCATACGGAGCATCTGCCTGTGCACAGTGAAAGGATTTTGGTCAATCAACACCTCCTCTTGGATGCTGTGCAGCCGTTACAGAAAACAAGGCAGGTCTAAGCTGGCTGACATATAGAAGCCTCTGATATTTAATGGTTTTTAAGAAGCAAGAACTAGAACAGTACTCAATTAACATAGCATTTGTGTCAATAGATTTCAGGCAGTCATAAATGCTGGTATATGGGGGGCGAATGTTGCGGTGCCATGGTTAAGTGGCCACTTCGGATGCCCGTGTCCCATGTCGGAATGCTGACTTGAGCCCCAGCCCCTCCACTTCTGATCCAGCTCCCAGCTGGCATTCCGGGAGGAAGCAGAAGATGGCCCAACCGCCTGGGCCCCTGCCACCCACGTGGGACATCCAGATGGAGTTTCTGGCTCCTGACTTTGGCCTGCATCAGCCCTGGCTGTTGTGGGCGTGTGGGGAGCGAACTAACAGATGAATGATCCCTGCCCCTCTCTTGTTCTGTCTTTCAAGTAGATGAAAATAAACCAAAAAAATTTTTTTCAAAATGCTGGTATGTGCATAAAAGTCAGCCTGGAGCAATTTACAAGAAATACGGCAGAAGGGGGCAGCTCGGAGTTTGGGAGAGTTCAGAGGAGGTTCCCACTCTATACACTTTTGCACCATTTGAATTTTTAAAAGCATTTGTATAAATTTCTTCTTTTAAAAAAAAGTACGAGTTATTTTGCCAGTCCCGACCGTGCATTTGTATGTCAGGTGTCTTCCAGCTCCCTGCTGTCCCTGCAATGCTGCACACACAGGCACGTGTGCACACTGTCTCCACCTCTTCAAAAGTGATGTCCTGGGCTTTCAGGGGTCTGAAGGGGCCTGAAGCAAGGGGAGCTGCTTGCATCTCAGCTCCCCACTGATGACTTGTGTGTGACAAGGACCCCTGTTCATGGGCGGAGGCCTTCAAAGAGCCCACACCCATTTCTGGCTCAGGTTCTGCAGCTGGAAGGGTCGTCTCTTTAATCCAGCCACCCTCTACGGGCTCTCTGGATTGGGGTCCCAATCTTCATATTTGGGCCTTAGAAGACAATGGTGGGGAAGGGCTCCTTCGCTGGTGTGGGAGAGAGAGGCTCTCAGCCCCTCAACACTGTTCAAGCACCTAGTGCACACTGGGGGCAGAGCTGAGCCAAGCCTCACGTTTCTATAAAAGGGGTAGAAAGAGAGTTGCCAGGTCCCGGGGTTGTGTTCCCATCCCAGGGCCAGGGACCTGGTTGGACACGTCGAATGTGAGCTACAGCAACTGGCACAGCGGACAGGCGGCACCTGCTCCCAACACCTGCGGCTACATCGGGAGAGGCCCTGATTCCCAGTGGGCTGCCTCGGGGGACTGTGCGCAGGCCTTCGCCTTCATCTGCGAGTTTGGTGAGCCGGCCCATCTCAGGGCCTCCTCTCCCTCCCCTGCTCTGCTCCTCGCCTTTTTCTGCTTCCATCACTCTATCACCTTAACTTTCTGTCCCTCTCCCTCTCTTTCCATTTTCTCTTGATCTTTCCTCCCTCTTTCTGGTTCTCAGTCTCTGTCTCTCCCCCTGCATGGGTCTCTGTCCACGTCTGTTTCCCTCCTCTCCCTCCATCTGTGACTGTTGACGTTTCCGTTTCTTGCTCAGTCTCTGTGACTCTCCCTAATCACATGATGCTGCCTCCCTTTCTCTCTCTCCCTCCCTCTCCTTCTCCCCCCCCCCCCCAGCTCCCATCCGCTCTTCCCTGCCATGTTCTTGCATCTCACAACCCTGACCCCTATGGCCACTCTGCTTCCCATCAGTGGGGCACCTGCCCAGCTGTACCCATGAGCCCCCTAAGGTGACGCCTTCCCTTACACACAGGGGTCGGCCGGCACCTGGCCTGTGAGGGCCTCAACGCCACCCTGCACTGTGGTTCCGGGGAGGTCATCCAGATCCAAGCGGCCCTCTACGGGCGCCAGACCCCCCACTACTGCACTCGGAACACCAGGCGGCCCTCACCTCTGGAAGAGGAATGCACCTGGCTCAGTGTCAAGGACGAGGTGGCAGGTGGGCCCCAGGGCTCTGCGGCTCGGGCTGGGACAAGAGGGTGGTGTGGGAATGCTGGGCCCAGCAGAGTGTTCTGGAAGGCCCTCGCCATCGTCAGGTCTGACCTTGGTGCTCCAGCCTGTGGGGAAGTTGGCCTGGCCCTGCCCACAGCAGCACACAGGGATCCAAGAGGCCGAGCCCACCCCCCCCAGCCAGCATCGAACCCACCCTGGGTAGGGGGCCTTCAGCTCCCCACCCTACTTGGGTGTTGGAAACACCGCTTTGAATTTTTTTCTTAAAATTATGAAATATTTCAAACCTAGAGACAGGAATAAAAATACTGCAACCAACTCCCATGGACCCGCTGCTTAACTCTATCCAGTCTCAACGTTACACAGCGTTTGCTTAAAGGTCCCTCATTTTAAAAGTGAATCCGTGACAAGACTCTGGCACAGCCCCTTGGGGGTCCTGTGCCCGTCAGGGATGCAGCGTCCGCGGGGCGTGTGCCCGGCTCTCTGATGATGCCCCATTTCTGCGCACAGCCCTAAGCATCACATGGCACTGCTTTGCAGGGTTTTCACGTGGATGAAAACGGCACGAGTGTGTGTCATTCTGCAGTGTGGGTTTTTTTTCTCTGTTTTGCTGTCGGTTTCCGTGCTTTGCTCCGCATGATATTTTTGAGACGTATTATCCGTCTTGACACGCGTTGTTCCGGTTCACCAGTTTCGTCTATTGTATGCCTGCACCATCATTTGTCTCCTCTCCCGGTGGGAGACGGATGAGTTGTTCCCCAGTGTCTGCTGTCTGAATGATGCTGAGGCAGACAGTGCCGGTGGCATCTCCTGTTCACGGGGGAAGACTCTCTCTAGGGCTTGTTTTTCTAAATCAGGTCAAATATGCCCCCCAAGCCCAGAGTGCAGGATTTACTTTCAAGGGGTGGAGGAGGGGCTCCCTGCACTCTCCTACGAAGTGCAAAGCCCTGTGAGACTTCCATCATCCTGGACACCGGAGAGTCCTCTCCCCTTGGCAACAGTGACCACTGTCCAGCCTGCAGGGTCCTGGGAAGGGTGGTGCACAGCTTCTCAGCTTAACAAGGACACCGCAGTCTGGGCCCAGCCTCCCACACAGGGCTTTTGGGATTTCTCCGTGCAGGCTCAGCCTCTGCCCACAGACCCTCTGACTCTTCAGGGAGGGGTGTCTAGTACTCCAGAACCTTCCATCTGCCTCCCCCGCTTCAGGAAGCATGTCTCATCTTGCACGTGTTGCCCTGGCTCCCTGGAAGCATGCATGAGGCATCAGCTGGCTGGTTCTCTCCCACTCTGCTCAGGGCTCCTGTGATCCTAAGCTGTGGCCTTGGAGGAAGGAGGGCCTGGGCTGGACAAGCAGCCGGCTGAGTCTCCATCACTGGGGCATGCTGGGGCTGAAAGGCTCAGCTGCAGGTGTCAGAGCCGTGGCAGCCACAGCCCCAGAGAGCACACACAGGGGAGCCCCGCCCCCACTGGGTGGGATCAGAGAATATATTTATTCAGTCAGCCAATAGACATTGATTGAGCACCAACAGTGTGCTGCACGCTATCTGGGCCTTGTGAATCCATCCAACACCAGAGGGGAGTCAGAACTACTACTTCACCGTGCGAAACTAATATTGTACCTACTGTGTGCAGGGCAGTGTTCTGTGCTGTGCTGGAGATGAACCCGTGAGACTGTTGAAAACTCTTCCACCATTTTGGAGATTATAGGCTAGTGCTATGGAGCACTTAGTAGGAATACACAATCAAGAAACAACGCTAAGTCTTTCAACAGAGAGAATTTAAGGCAGGGGATTGGTTTCCCATGTCTGAGAAGAGCTGAGAAGGCAAATAAGGGGTGCAGCTGCAGCCCCGAGATGAGCTGCAGGAAGTCGCCACACCCCTAAGCACCAGATGAATAGTCAGAGCGGAGGAGACGATCATATCAAAACCAGAAGTCAGAGCCATTCAGTGGGTGCCAGAACCATGGCAGAGGTTGTCCTGTGGGAGACAGGAACAAGGTAGGGGGCCCTGCCCAGAGGCAGCTGGAGCTACAGAGGAGCTGCTGGGAGAGACAGGATGAGGGCATATCTGGCATCCACCTCTTCCCGTAGCAGTGGGCAGACCTATGGCATCCAAGCTTCCTCCCCCTAATCCCTAGCCCAGGGGTGTGATGAGATGCCATGCCCCGTATTAACTCACATGGTGCAAGGCACCCTGCAGGTGTAAAGGAGAATGCCAGTCAGTTGGCTTTAGAATGGGGAGATTATCTGGGATTATCTGTCTGAGCACAATGTAAACATATGATCTCTTAGAGACAGATAACTTTCTCTGGCTAAAAGCAGAAGAGATGTGGGAGGGAAGTCAGAGGGATTGCAAGGGTGAGACAGACAGGTTCCATACGCCACTGCTGGCTCTGACACGCAGGGGCCACAGGCAAGGAGCTGAGGGCTGAATTCTGCCAATAACAGGAATGAGATGGGAGGCAGATTCTTCTCTGAAGCCTCCAGGAAGGAGGGCAGCCCTGCCAACTGCCTGACTCCAGCCCTGGGGTACCCTGAACAGAGCCCGGTCCAACCCAGCCAGACTCCTGACCTTCAGAACTGTGAGATAATATATCCACACTGCTTTTAGGCCCCTGAGTGTGTGGTTGTGAGTTACAGCAGTGACTGGAAAGCAGCACACTGCCCTCCTATGTTCTGCCAGTGCCTACCTGAGAGCCAGGGGACAAGGGAGCTTGAGGAACCCAAATCCTTGCAGGGCCAAGTAGAGCAAGGCAAGGCGGAGATCCATGGGCTAATGATCCCGTGGTGGCCAACTTCTCCGAGAGGGGAGTGAGGAGGCAACCAGGGACAGCACAGAGGTGTTCCGGAAAGCAGAAAGGACCTGTGCAAAGTCCCTGCGGTGAGAAAGAGCCTGGAGGAGAGGGAAACTGCCCAGCACTCGGAGTGGCTCCTTTGCCCATGGAGCGAGGGAGGGTCCCCATGACCTGGACTTTATCCTGAGTAACTGGAGGGTTTGAGCATGGGAGAGACCTGGCCATACTCAGGCTGCTCTGAGTCCAGACTGGGGCTGGAAGACAACTAGGAGGCTGGCATCCGGGACCCAGGTGGGAGACACTAGTGGTGCAGTGGTGGAGAGAAGTGGGAGGGTTCCAGAGGCAGAGGAAGGCTGGCCGACTCACTCACTGGGGAGGGTGCAGGAGGTGCAGGTGCTGAGACAGCAGGGGCAGAGCAAGAGCAGCTACCGGGGCTGGAGGGCACACGAGTGTCCCAAGGCTGCCGTGACACAGCCCCGTGAGCTGGGTGCTCTAAACAACAGAACAGCCTTCTCCCACAGTCTGGGAGGCCAGAGTCCAAGATGCAGGGGGACATGGTCAGAGAACATTCCCTTGCCTCCTCCAGCTCCTGGGGTTGGCCAGCTCAGTGCCCCAGGGTTGTGGATACAGTGCTGGGATCTCTGCTCCACCTGACACCTATCAGGCTGGATTAAGGGCCACTCTAATGACCTCATCTTAACTTGATGTCACCTGCAAAGATCCTATTTCCAAGTAAGGCATGCTCACAGGTACCCGGTAGAATTTCAACATATCTTTTGGGAGGGACAAAATGTAGCTCAGATCAGAAAGCAAGACCTCAGTTTAGGGCACAAGGAACCTGGGGCACCCAGTGATATCCAAGTGGAGATGTCAGGTAAACAGTCGGACAGGTAGAAACTCCAGACTGAGCTGGAGAGGAGGTGCAACTGTGGCATCACCAGCATCTGCATAATAACAGGAAGTAGGGAAGAGACAGTGGGGAGGAATCTAGTCCTGGAGGTTTTCAGGGGTGGGTGGAGGCCTTGTCTGGCTACGCAGCCACACAGGAACACTGAAACTGATCCAAGAGCAAGCCTGGTTAGCTGAGAGGTGAAGGAGAGCAGAGACCATGATGTCCAGGTGCTGCGGGCAGAGCCATGAGGATGCTCTGAGGCCACTTCCCTGGGGCTTCCACAGCAGACGGGTAGAGGGAGGGGGTTGGGTGGCTCTGAAGACTCTGGGTCTCCATGCTGCTCCCTGCTGGGGGCACCTGGCAGCCTTGAGAGATGCAGGATTCCTCCGCTTGCCCCCTTTCGCTGGTTCTGAGGGTGCAGGTTTCCCCTGCAGTCATTTGAGTAGATGCTCTGTGCCCGTGGTTCTCAAAGTGGGGGCTCTGGGAGATTGTGAGACAGGCTCTCGGCTGCTGCTTGCAGCCACTGGACTGGACCAGCCCCGCTGAGGTGTGTGTGGAGCCCTGCGTCTTCACAAGCCCTCCAGGGGAGCTGGTCCATGCTGTGGTTGGAGAACCAAGTGCTAGACCCGGAGCTATTGAGGGCAGAAGTCCCACTTCCCCATCCCCTTATTGCCTAGTCCAGAGCCTGGTCCTTGGTGGTGGGTGGACAGCGGGCAGATGAGGGAGGGCTCGTCCCTGAGCAGCCCTGCTGAACGTGTCTTCTTTTGTCCTGCACATCACTCCTGCTTCCACTGGTGTGGGGCTCCCCAGGCCAGTGCCAGGGACTGCAGGCGTGCCAGGTGGCAGCAGATGGGAGCTACTTCGGAGACCTGTGCCCGACTCGGGGCAGCTACCTGTGGGTGCAGTACCAGTGCCGGGAAGGTGAGTCCCCAGTTTGCTTGGGCCTTGGGTTTCCCTTGTTGTTTCTGCCAGCCTTCCCTGGAGCAGGGCAGCAGCCGCCCAGGCACCCAGCCACTCTGTGCTGAGGCTCCCGGCAGCCTGGCCTCCCACCCACATAACCTCTTGGGGTTAAGAGTTTGAAGTTCCTACTGCAGAAGCTGAGCCAGAGAGAGGGTAAAAAGAAAATCTGTTTAACCCTAGCTCCTTCACATTAAATTTCATGCGGCTGACCTGATGCACATAGCAGCAACAGCCAGGTCACCCAAATGGGAGAAAACACAAGACCGCTCACGCTTCCCCCACCGCCGCTCACCATCGGGGACACACAGGGGCTTCAAAAAACACAAATCTTGCAAGTCATAAAAATAACCCATTCCTGCAGTTTATAACAGTTTTATGGGGGGACGCGGGGGGTGTCGTGGTGTAGCAGGTTAAGCTGCTGCTTGCAGCACTACAGCCCACGTTGGAGTGTTGGTTCAAATCCTGGCTGCTCAGTTAATGACCCACATTCCAGCTACTATGCCTGGAGAGGCAGAAGATGACCCAAGTACTTTGGCCCTGCCACCCACAGGGAGAAAAGATGGCGTCCTGGTTCCTGGCTTCATACTGCCCCAGCCCTGGCCACTGGGGCTGTTTGGGGAGTGAACTACCACTGGAAGTTTTTTTGGTTTGTTTGTTTGTTTACTTTTCAAAGGCAGAGTCACTGAAAGAGAAAGGGAAAGGGAAAGACAGAGGGGGGCAGGGGGGAGAGAGAGAATTGATCTCCCATTTGTTGGTTCACTTCCCAAATAGCCACAATGGCCAGGGCTGAGCCAGGCCGAAGGCAGGAGCCTGGAACTCCATCTGGGTCCCCCATGTAGGTGGCAGGGGTCCAAGGACTTGGGCCATCCTCTGCTGCTTTTCCCAGGCACAGTAGCAGGGAGCTAGATCTGAAATGGAGCAGCCAGGACTTGAACTGGCACCCATACAGGATGGTGGCAACACAGGCAGTGTCTTAACCTGCAGTGCTACAATGCCAGCCCCACACATACTCTCTCTTTAACTAAATCTGTAAAAAGTTCTGTAGATTAAGAAAGGTACTTCCCTTCAATTCAATAATTCTATTCCGTATAAGGAAACAGTTAATTAGAACGAATTCCTCTCTGCTTTTTAAAATGCTTGCATAGACGTGCCTATGTGTGAAATATATATTATTGATAAAATTATGGTCATATTAAACACATGGTCTACATCTGAACTTCCTTGTCACTTACAAATATATCCTGGACATCTTCCCAAGTCAGTATGTTACTCTTTCAATGACTACAACATATCCTGTTAGAAAGTATCTAAAATCTAATTAAAAATGAATCTTAATGAAGAATGGAATGGGAGAGGAGGGTAGGAGATGGGATGGTTTGCAGGTGGGAGGGTGGTTATGGGGGAGAAAACTGCAATAATCCAAAAGTTGTACTTTCGAAATTTATATTTATTAAATAAAATTTTTCTAAAAAAAAAAAGAAAGTATCTAAGATCTGTTGAACCAGTTCCTTACTGATGGACATTTAGGTTGCTTCGCATTTTCCTTCATTGCATCTCACTCCACAGTGTTCATTCTTGGGCATGTATCTTTTTAAAAATGTTTTTTATTTGTCTGAAAGGCTGGGTCATTGCCCAAAGGTTCACAACCGCCAGGTCTGGGTCAGGCCGAAGTCAGGAGCTTAAAACTCAATCCAGGTCTAACACACGGGGTTAGGGGGACCCAACTACTTGAGCTCTCACCTGAGCTTCCCAGGTGTGTACACTAGCAGGAAGCTGGAGTCAGAAGAGGACCCGGGACTCAAACCCAGGCACTCTGCGGTGGGATGCAGGCATCCCTGGTGGCACTGGGATCACTACCGAATGCCTGCCTCTTGGGCATCTATCTTGACAAATGCCTGGGATTATTTTTAGAGGCGAGATCCCTAGCTGTGGAAACACTGCGTCACAGGCTGCGTGCGTGTTGAATGTTAACAGACAGTGCCAGATTGCCCTCCAAACTAATGCATCCAAGCGCCCTCCTACGAACAGCACCCTAGTCCCCGTAAGGCTGTGAAACCGCACTGTGCCGGCATCTGCAAACTGCTCAGAACAGCAACTTCTACTGAGGTCGTGAGCAGTAGGGCCAGGCAGCTCCGCAGGGAAAAAGATGAGTCAGGGAACACTGGGATCCCCAAGGCCATCGGAGAGAGCAGGATCCAGGGATCCTGGGGAGGATGCTCCGGGACAGTGTGCAGGAGGGGGAGGGTGGCGGCAGGCACAAGCTTGACCACTGGCTTTATGGTGCTGGACGTGCCTGGACTAAGAAGCGCCAGCGGGCCTGGAGTTCTGGGCAGCGATTTCTATTTTGTGATTTTGCCAGTGGCCAAGGGGAGCTCTGGAGAGCTGCCACCCTTAGTGCAGATGTCTCTAGGCAAAGGGGCTTGGTGTCCACTGGGACGGATTTCCCGCTGCTCGTGAGCCTGTGTGCTCTGAAGGAGGGGCTTACCCAGCCCCTGTGGGCCGTGCCAGAAGCCTCCTAAGCGCCGAGGCACCCAGAGGCAGCTGGGAAGGCTTTCCAGCTAGCTCCAGAAAGGTCTTTCCATTTGTATTCAGCACCTCACAGTACTTCAGAAAGTTAGCAGAAACATGGGATTAAAAGGGAAGCTTACTTTGCTACCAAAAATAAAAAAAGAAAGAAAGAAAGAAAGAAATCTATGTACTTTTTCATAATACCCACTTTCCAGGAACCCTTTGAAGATCCTTACTCAGTATGCATACATTTAATTTTTTTGCACAAAAATAAACTTTCAATTCCATTTTCCACGAAGCTTTGGAAGACCCTTCACATCTTTTCCCCTCTGATTTGTGCTTGGAAACTGAAGGATGGTGCTGCACAGTTGAGCCCGGGGCTGTGTGCAGACCCAGAAGATTCTACTTCTCTCACTTCGCCCTTCAACTCCTGAAGTTCAAGGTCAAGATTTTGTAGACTTTAATGGACCTAAGAGGATTACAGTGATTCACCACACTTTAGTCCAACAGAGTTTCTTAGAGTTTTGCCCTTTGTCTTTTTAACCGCAATAAAAGTATACTTGAATAATCAGCAGAACCCTGGCTAAATAAATGAGGTCAGAGTCAACAGCTACTAAAAATAACATCAGAAAGATTATTGGATTTAATATTGCTGTTCAATATCTTTTATTTTTGTTCCTTTATTCTAACTAATCTATTGTAGTTACCCATTGTTATGAAAAGTATGTAAATAAGATGAGCCCTGCAATCCTAAAAAACATAAAATAAAATAACAAAGCTTGGTGCTTTGTAGCACAGCAGGCTAGGCCATCAGCAACACCAGCACCCCATATGAGCCCTGATTCAAGTCCCAGCTGCTCCATTTCCAATCCAGCTCCCTGCTAACACACCTGGGAAGGCAGTGGACAATTGCCCAAGTGCTTGGGCCTCTGCCACTCACATGGGAGACCTGGATGGAATTCCCAGTTCCTTTGGCCTGGCCCTGAAACCATTTAGGGAGTGAACCACTGGATGGAAAAATTACATAGAGAGGTAGAGACTGCAAGAGAAAGGTCTTCAATCCTCTGGTTCACTCTCCAAATGACTGCAATGGCCGGAACTGAGTTGATCTGAAACCAGGAGCCAGGAGTTTCTTCCGGGTCTCCCACATGGGTGCCAGAGCCCAAGGACTTGAGCTATCCTCTACCACTTTCCCAGGTGGATTAGCAGGGAGCTGGATCAGAATGGGAGCAACCCAGACTGGGATTGGTGCCCATATGGAATGCCAGTGCTGCAGGCTGGGGGTTTAATCTGCTGTGCCACAGTCCCAGCACCTAAATAAATCCTAAAATAATAAAAATATGGGCAGGTGTTGTGGACTAGTAGTTAAGTATCTGCCTGTGGCACCAGCATCTCATATGGGCACTGGTTCAAGTCCTGGCTGCACCACTTCTATTCTAGCTCCCTGTTGACAGCCTAGGACAGCAGTGGAGGATGGCCCTGTACCCACATGAGAGACCTTAAAGAAGCTCCCGGCTCCTGGCTTAGGATTGGCCCAGCTCCAGCTGTTACGGTTATTTGGGGAGATAACCAGCCTTTCTCTCTGTCTCCCTATCTGCCTCTCAAGTAAATAAATAAATCTTTAAAAAAAGAGGATAAAATAGCAAGGAAATTCTAATTCTAGTCTTACAAAGCAATACCCAAGGTAAGCGAAGTGTCTATGGTGAATGCAGCATGTACCATTTGTGTAAACAAAAAGGCACCTCTGTGCTGGCATGGTAGAAAGTTCTGGAAGGGGACCAGGCTATGGTGACAACAGCAGGTTCTACACAAAACTAGGGAAGGGGAGGAGGCTGCTTGTCACTCCAAACCCTTTTGGACTCTGAATTTTGTATCATGGTTGTGTATTATCTATGACTGAAAAATAAAATTCCAAAGAACTTTAAAAAGTAAAATTTTAAAGGCTTGGAGAGGCCCACATTAAAACACTGGCCAGGAGAGCAAAGGCGTTAAACAGAAACGTGCCACTGTGTTTCCCCAGGCCTGCAGCTGGCCGTGTCCCCCGAGAGCGTCGTCTTTGACAACGTCACCATCTCCCTGACGTGGCTCCTCACTCCTTACGTCGGAAACCTGTCGTGTATCATTAGCATGGGAGACGGCCACACTGTGGATCCCTACTACCCCACCAGGTAAGAGGTGGGTTACCTCGGTGGGGTTACCTCGGTGCTGCCACGTAAGAAGCCGCCCTACAACTTGGTGGCTTAATGTACTAGACGCGGTTTCTCATGGTTCTCTGCAGAGCGGGGTGGCTTTTCGTGTCTGGATTGACCCCAGCTGGCCTTGCTGGTCTAGGAAGTCTCTGGGGCTCAGCTAGGGACGCTGTGCTGGCTCATCACCCAATAGGTGGGGGCCAAGGCTCATCCACAGGGTGGCAGAACGGTGCCTAGCATGAGAGCGAGGCCCCACGTGAAATCCTCCTCCAGTATCTACTTGCATAGCGTTTTCTAGTATCTCATGGGCCAAAGGAAGGGGTAGGGAAGCAGACTCTGGAAGCAGACTCTGGAGCCACAAGGCTGAGGGGCCCGCGTGCACAGGTGGGAGGAGATGGCTGCTGCTTTTGCAAACACTCTGCACACGAGCTCTCTCCTCCTGGAGGCCATCGAGAGAATCAGGACACAAGAGTCGCCTCCTTCTGACCTGGCTCTGCAAGGAATCTCAGCTCAGGGGGTTGCTCCCACAACAAGGCAGGAAGGAGGCAAGGAAGGGGCCCATGTGGGTGTGGGGGACATTTTTGTTGCTGAGAATAAAAATGGTAGTAGTAGTAGTATTGATAACTGTCCAGCTGTGCACACATAATCCCCCCAACTCTCACAACAGCCCTCTGGGCTACAACTGTGCTGTCCAAGGCAAGGAGGGACTGCAAAAAGTTCATGGAAAATGAAATTAAAAGGTAAGTTTGTTTTAGTGCAATACATTTTTTGAAATCCATGTATAGTTTTCCCATGACACATTGCCCACGAGTTGTTTGTAGACTCTTTTTTTTTTCTTTTCTTTTTTTTTTTTTTGACAGGCAGAGTAGACAGTGAGAGAGAGAGAGACAGAGAGAAAGGTCTTCCTTTGCCGTTGGTTCACCCTCCAATGGCCGCTGTGGCTGGCACACCGCGCTGATCCGAAGGCAGGAGCCAGGTGCTTCTCCTGGTCTCCCATGGGGTGCAGGGCCCAAGCACTTGGGCCATCCTCCACTGCACTCCCTGGCCACAGCAGAGAGCTGGCCTGGAAGAGGGGCAACCGGGACGGAATCCGGCGCCCCGACCGGGACTAGAACCCGGTATGCCGCGGTGCCGGCCTGTAGACCTCTTATAGCAACCATGAGCCACTGAGCACCTGAAATGTGGCTGCTTCCAGCTGAGATCTGCTGTGGGTATCAAACACACAGGAAGAGAAAGTTACTCCCCACCCCCCAAAAGTAAACATGTGAATATCACACAATTTTTAATATTGATTATATGTTGAAGTGATGATATGTTTGAAATACTGGGTTGAAGAAATTATTAAAATTGGTTGTACTGTTTCTCCCAACTTCGATTGGCTATGAGAAACTTTAGAATGACACATGTGGCTCCTGCTGCATTTCCATGAGATGGTTCTGCCCGAGGTAATCATCACCTAGGTTTTACAGACCAGGCCACTGAAGCACGAAGGGGTTGTGGCAGTGTTGCCAAAATCACACAACCAGGGGAAGGAGTGGCAGGGAGGTCACTCAGGTCAGGACGACCTGGCAGTCAAGGCCAGGTGCTTGGGCCCTGGAGGGACATAGCATAGGCAGCCTTGGGGCCTGGGGACACTGTCACTGGTGTCTTCCAGGGATCAGAGTGACCGCCCATCCTCACAGACACTCACCCCAATTCACAACGTTTCAGAGCCCTCCCTGCGCCTGCAGCGAGTCCCATTCTGTCCTGCTGGATGCCCCAGCATCCCTGAGTCTCCAGCCCTCCTCGGGTTTTGGAGAGAAGAGATATGCATTGTGTTGATGAACTGGTAGAAAACAGGAAGAAACATGCAGAACAATGCCACAGGCTAATGCATCATATCAGCATTCGCTCCCCAATTCAATATGAATCTGCAGGCATATCAGGGTACCCAGGTAAGATGCTCCTCTCCCAACCTCACACACCTCCAATCCTCTTCTGCAGGAGCTGGAGACTCTGAATCCAGCCCCATGGGAGCGCAGCACGGGCAAGGTGGGGCACATAGGAGCCACCCTGGCCCAGCCCAAGCTGCCCCAGTGAGTGCAGGTCTCAACCTCAGCAGCCCTCTGAGGCTACAGCTGTCTTGACTCCAGATAGAATGGAGTCCAGAGGCCAGGGTTCCAGTCCCAGCTGCTGCCCTGAGACAGCCCTGGCCTTCGTGTTTCTCTCCCTGCCACACCTAGAGCAAGAGCTGCTTTGACCGCTTCACGCAGTAAACTGAGAAATTTTAAGAGATGATGCTTTTGTGCCGGCGCCGCAGCTCACTAGGCTAATCCTCCACCTTGCAGCGCCAGCACACCGGGTTCTAGTCCCAGTCGGGGCGCCGGATTCTGTCCCGGTCGCCCCTCTTCCAGGCCAGCTCTCTGCTGTGGCCCGGGAGTGCAGTGGAGGATGGCTCGAGTACTTGGGCCCTGCACCCCATGGGAGACCAGGATAAGTACCTGGCTCCTGCCATTGGATCAGCGCGGTGTGCCGGCCGCAGCACACCAGCCGCAGCGGCCATTGGAGGGTGAACCAACGGCAAAGGAAGACCTTTCTGCCTGTCTCTCTCTCTCTCTCACTGTCCACTCTGCCTGTCAAAAAAAAAAAAAAAAAAAAAAAGAGAGAGAGAGAGAGATGATGCTTTACAGGGAAAACACCTCAGTGATCCAGATATCCCTGGCATTGTCCCACATGTTTCTCTCTATCATTTTATGAAGAAAGCAATGAGTGCTAAGTTGTTCAGTCTCATAGCCCCCAAAATCTCATGCAACTCGAATTTGGCATGAGTCAAACTTGAGAGTGGGTAGCTTTGCCTTAGTGACATTGGGACTTCCCAGTGATAAACTCTGCTCTAAGCCAGAAGTGAACGGAACACAAGGCTGACACTTGTCCATTCTGGATGGTGAGTCCAGTGGGATTTGTTTGGCTTGTTACTCTCCGGAACTGTCTCTGTGATTAACACCTAAGAGAATGATAAGCAAGGCTTTACATTTTCAAACTCTCTGGATGTTCATCCTAAGCCCCTAGCATTTTATTTCCCTCTTTCAAAAGAAATAGATGGTATCATTCCCCTGCCCAAATTATCTAATTTTGCTTTAAAACTTGTTGCTCTATTAAAAAAAAAAAAAACACCAGAAGATAGGAATTGGGATGTTTTCACTATGAAGAAATGTTAACTACTTAAAAGGATAAATATGTTTACCCCAAGTGGGCAGTATACAATGTATTCATATAACGCAGTATCACACAATACCCACAAATATGCACCATTTCTGTATGTCTGCTAGGTGTTTTTTAAAAAGATTCGGTGAACCTTCAAACTCCCCACCTGCCTCCTCTTGCGTTTTGAGTGACACTGGGAGATGCTTCCAATGCTGCCTTCCCAACCCCAGAAGCCCCAGTTCTCAATCTGTAATACAGAAAATGGCGTGAGTTTTGAACATACAGAAGACAAAGCTTTTGTGCAAATATCACTGTGCTTTTCTTATAGGCCTACAGGTGCCTATTTTTGCATAGCTCCTCATTACTCTAAGAGGTAGAGATTTTTAACCCGGACCCTCCACGTCCATCCTAGATAAATGCCATGAGCAGATGGGGGAGAAACCAAGGTCCAGGGACTCTCCCTTAGCAGCTCCTTCTCACCCTGTTTCCTTCTTGCCTTGTGTTCGTTTGCAAGGTGATGTTTTGCTTCTCTGACCTGGGAAACTTTCTATTATGGGCGCTATAGGATGATTTACACAGGGTGAAGTTTAGCTAGGCCCGGTGTTGAGTGACTAAGCGCCCCCTGCTGGCAGATCTGGGGACTGCTAGCACTGTTGCATCACTCACAGCTGCTTCTGCACAGTCAAGTCCTGGAGGCGGGGCTTGCTGAAGACCAAGGAATCACAAAAAGACCTGGACATACCCAGGCTGCCAGGAGGCACAGAGGAGAGAACTGGACCAGCACAGAGGTGCTGGTCAAAAAGGAGCCTAGAGCACAGGCCCTTACAGGGGTGACCGGAGGGACAGGGCAAGGACCCAGGGAAAAGGGAGCAGCTGAGGCCTGGCAGAGCCTGCTGTCCTTGGATGACTGTGCACACCTGGGTGCGTCTGCAGTTCAGGGGTCTATGGGAAAATGAGATGCTGGCGAGCTCAGTGGGGGCCTGGTCATGAAGAGTCCCTGATGCCAGTCTGTGGGAGGAGACTCTGCTAGGGAGAGTGCTCCTAGTGGGAGCTGGGAACAGACCCTGATGGCAGAGGGAGAAGCGGAGGAGGGTGCATCTGTCAGATGTTCACCTGTAACCTGCTCAGCTGTCCAGAAGGGAGGCCAGAGGGTGGGACCTTCGGACCCCAGCACCAAGCGCCATCAAATGTGGGATGTCCCTGGGCCGGGGTTGTGGCCTTGGAGGAGGAGCTCCCTTTGGCTCAGTTCCTGGGGACGGACTCAGCTGTGAGCCTCAGCCACCACTGGGTGCCTCAGTCTTGCAGGTGGAACCTGGGAGAGGCTCCACAGTGCCCACTACAGAGAACCAGATTCTCGGGCCAAGAGTTTCCATGATCTGTGTTGATTACCTTTCTGCTCGTACTATTGCTAATGTTACTAATACCTGTCGAATGATGTTAAGGAGTATGAGAGCCTACAAAGGAGAAAATAACTGTCTGAGTTGCCTCTAAAAAATTAGGAATCAATATTTATATAGAAGTATGAGGGAATTTCAAAAAGCTCATGGATAAAAATGGAATGAAAAGATAAGCTTATTTTGGTGCAAAAACATTTTTAAATCCATGCACAGGCTTTTCTGTAATGCGATTTGTTTGTTTGATTCGGGGCAGTCTACTGAAATGTCCTGAAAACATTGTATCAAATTCGTCATCTGCAACTCGGGCTCCTTTGGCTCTAGTGGCTCCTGTAGAAGCACCTCTTCCTCTCCTGCCTCTCCCTCACCCCCGGTGCCACCTCCACCTCTTCCTCAACCCCC